TCCCCCTATAGTTGGAACACACCCTTCGGTCCCCCTTTTTAAATAGGTCATTAGATGTTTAAATGTTGCAGGTGCATTTTGTAAACCAAAACCCATTACTGTATAGGAAAACAACCCTGATGGAGTAATGAATGCTGAGATTTCCTGAGCTCTTGGAGTTAAAGCAACCTGCCACTAACCTTTGAGAAGGTCAAATTTACTCACAAACCAGGCGCTACCCACTTGGTCCACACAGTCTTCAACCCTGGGCAATGGGAAAGAGTCTGGTTTGGTAAATGAGTTTACCTTACAGAAATCTGTGCACATTCGAGGAGGCTTGTCAGCCTTCTGCACAATAAAACATGGAGATGCCCAACTGGAGGAAGAAGGAACAGCCAAATTGTTGTCAAGCATGTACTAAACTTTCTTATCAATGACCTGCTGCTTTTCCTCTGAGACTCGGAAAAACCTCTGGCGAATAGGCTTGGCATCACCCACGTCAATGTTTATGTTTATGTTTATGTTTATGCATTTGGCAGACGCTTTTATCCAAAGCGACTTACAGAGTAGACACAATATTACATTTCTCATCACAATGACAATAAGCTATATAGAGGAGAAACACTGATCAGAGTCAGTGGTGAGATAGAGATAGAGGTAGAGGGACTACAGAAGGAGCTGTGGGGGGGTAGAGGTACGGGTTAGGGTTAGGATAGGAGATGCTCTTTGAAGAGGTGGGTCTTCAAGAGTTTCTTGAAGACAGACAGGGACTGTTCTGCTGTCGTGTTCTATTAAATTTGTCCTTGAAGGGGTGTCTCCGAACAAACAAGGGTACTCCTTAATTAGAGCAGACAACCGAAAGGCTTGATCGTTTGGCAAAGGGGAAAGTTGCAAATCTAATTTTTGTAATGATTCGGAATTCTTAAGCCTACCACAATAGCTTCATCTGGCATTACACCTTCCTCCCCCCATGAAGAGCTGGCTGCTGGATGTCACAGGCAGTCAAGACTATTAGGAACCAGAGCCTCTGCCGTGCATTGCAAAGACTCACGGACAAAGTAGGGTTTTTGAAGGTTAATATTGCAAAGCTGTTGACTTTTCCTTTGATCTGGAGTAGAAATTAAATAGTTAAGTTCAGAAAGTTGCTTGATTACAGTGTAAGGACCATGAAACTTCGCTTGAAATGGAGAACCAACAATAGGAAGCAACGCCAAAACCTGATCTCCCTCACTAAACTGACACTTTTCTGAATAACGATCATAATGTGACTTAAGTTTTTTCCCTTGTGCTTTAGCCAAATTTTCTTTTGCCAACTGTCCAGCTGTGTAAAGACGATGTCTGAAACCATTAACATAATCCAACAAGTTAACAGGAGGTTTCTCGTGGCCAAACTATCATGAAGTACTGCTTACGGACCAAGGACTTTATGGCCAAAGACTAGGTCGTTAGGGCTAAACCCAGTGCTTTCCTGGAAAACTTCTCTGGCTGCTAACAGTAACCACGGTATCCAGTTATATTCCAATCTTTACTCAACTCTATACAATAGGACCGTAACAGCGATTTGAGAGTTTGGTGGAACCTCTCCAGTGCACCCTGGTTCTGTGCATGGTACGCTGAAGCCTGATTGTGCCTAATGTTGAGCTGATCCAACACCTGGGCAAAGAGGTGAGACGAAAAATGTGATCCCTGATCACTGAATCATCTTTGGTATTCCGCAAAACGGCGGAGGGGGAAACGTGCCGGTGCGCTTGTGCGTCTTTGTCAGCGCGGTCACTGCACACCGCTGCCGGGCATATTCCTCTCTAATGTGCGTTCACTGGCCAACAAAATTGATGAACTCCAGCTGCTGATGGGGAAACGCCGAGACTGCGCCACTTCTGCAGTTTTGTGTTTTACGGAGACGTGGTTATGTGAATCGACACCGGACTCTGCGCTGCAGCTGGAAGGCTTCCAACTCTTCAGAGCGGATCGTAACATGGAACTCTCCGGCAAGACTAAAGGTGGTGGAATCTGCTTTTACACCAACAGTGGCTGGTGTAATGATGTGACAGTGATTCAGCAGCACTGCTCTCCTGATCTGGAAACTTTTTTCATTAACTGCAAACCCTTTTACTCGCCCCGTGAGTTCGCCTCATTCATTCTGGCCGGTGTTTACATCCCACCGCGGGCCAACGTGCAGGACGCACATGCTCGCCGACCAGATACTGCGTGTGGAGCGGACATACCCGGACTCTTTAGTTATTGTCCTCGGCGACTTTAACAAAGGTAACATCACACACGAACTCCCAAAATACAGACAGTTTATAAAATGTCTGACCAGAGAGGAGAATATTCTGGATCACTGTTACACCACTATCAGCAACGCTTATCACGCCGTCCCCCGCGCTGCACTGGGCCACTCTGACCACGTCATGGTCCATCTGATTCCTGCATACAGACAGAAACTCAAACTCTGTAAACCGGCTGTGAGGACATCAAAGCAGTGGAGCAGTGAGGCTGTGGAGGATCTTCAGGCTTGTTTGGAGACTACTGATTGGGATGTTTTCAAGACTGCCACCACCAGTCTGGATGAGTACACAGAGACTGTGACTTCATATAACAGTTTCTGTGAGGACTGCTGCATACCATTACGCACCAGGGTGAGCTACAACAACGAAAAACGCTGGTTCAGTCCTAAACTCAGACAGCTGAGGCTGCAGAAGGAAGAGGCATTTAAGAGCGGGGACAGGGACACGTTTAAGGAGTCAAAGTACAGGTTTAGTAAGGCGGTGAGGGACGCTAAACGGCTGTACGCTGAGAATATCAGCTCTGTCTCCTGTGTTCACTGACATCTTCAACACATCGCTGGAGACATGCCATGTGCCTGCCTGCTTCAAAACCTCCACCATAATCCCCGTCCCCAAAAAATCAAAGATTTTAGGCCTCAATGACTACAGACCTGTCGCCCTGACCTCTGTGGTGATGAAGGTATTTGAGCGCCTTGTCCTTGCCCACTTGAAAGCGATCTCAGACCCACACCTGGAACCACTGCAGTTTGCCTACAGAGCCAACAGGTCTGTAGATGACGCTGTCAACCTGGCTCTCCACTTCATCCTCGAGCACCTGGACTCCCCAGCCACCAATGCCAGGATCCTGTTTGTAAATTTTAGCTCTGCCTTCAACACCATCATCCCCCCTCTACTCCAGGACAAACTCTCCCATCTGGGTGTGCCTGATCCCACCTATAGATGGATCACTGACTTCCTATCTGACAGGAGGCAGCATGTGAGGCTGGGAAGCCACACCTCCAACAGTCGGACCATCAGCACTGGTTGCCCTCAGGGCTGTGTTCTCTCCCCCCTACTCTTTTCCCTGTACATCAACAGCTGCACCTCCAGCCACCAGTCTGTCAAGCTCCTAAAGTTTGCGGATGATACGACCCTCATCGGATTCATCTCACATGGGGACGAGTCTGCCTACAGGTGGGAGATCGACCGTCTGGTGTCCTGGTGTGCAGTCAACAACCTGGAGCTCAACATGCTCAAGACAGTGGAGATGGTTGTAGACTTCAGAAAGAACACAGCAACACCTGCTCCCATCACTCTGGGTGGCTCCACAATTGCTTCTGTGGAGTCCTTGTGTTTTCTGGGGATCACTATAACCCAGGACCTCAAGTGGGAGCTGAACATCAGCTCCCTCACAAAGAAAGCACAGCAGAGGATGTTCTTCCTGCGGCAGCTGAAGAAGTTCAACCTGCCTAAGGCAATGATGGTGCACTTTACACTGCCATCATTGAGTCCATCCTCACCTCCTCCATCTCCATCTGGTACGCTGCTGCCACAGATAAGGACAAGTGCAGACTGCACGGTATCATTCGCTCAGCCGAGAAGGTGATTGGCTGCGATCTGCCATCCCTTCAGGACCTGTACGACTCCAGGACTTTAAGGCGTGCAAGAAAGATCATGTCTGATCCTTCTCACCCTGGTCACAAACTTTTTGAAACCCTCCCCTCTGGCAGAAGGTTGAGGACCATCAGGACCAAAACCTCACGCCATAAAGACAGTTTTTATCCAGCAGCAACTGGCCTCATCAACAAGGCTGTCAGGGAGATGGGTGTTGACGGAGGACTCAGGTGCGGAGATGAGGGGAGACAAGGTTTATTGCACAAAAAAACAGAGTGAATGTCCAGACAAAGTACAAAGCAAAGCTGTGGAAAACTGTGGGCAAAGTATCAAAGCAAAGCAAACAAGACTGTGGCAAAACTATGACAAAGTAACAAAATAAAGATTAACAAGACTGTGACAAAACTGTGACTATGGCAGAACTATGACAAAAACAAACCTGGCGTGGGGGTGACGAAACAGACAAGAGACGAAAACGCACTCGCACAAGACAAGGGGAAACGAGGACTATTTAAACACAAGAGGGAGGGGAGCCCCACGTGTACACAATAGGTAATCAAGACGAGACACCAGACATTCCCCCAGACGTGACAGAGGCCAGTGACCCCCAACTATTCTTCTCCCACCCCCCTCTACCCAACTAATATACACAATGCTACGTTCAGCATTTTCTGGTCTGTCGGACAATGGACACTGTCGTTGGACATTCAATATTTTATTTTATTATTATTATTTATTATTATCATTTATCATTATCATTATTCTATTTTATTTGATTCTATATTTTTATTTCTACATTGTGTGTCCTTTCATGCTTCTCATAGAAGTGTTGTGCACCAAACACCAAAGCAAATTCCTTGTAAGTGAAAAACCTACTTGGTAACAAACCTTATTCTGATTCTGATAAATTGAGACAATGCCTTGACAATAGATTTGGCAGTAATATTGCGAAGTGAATAAGCAGCTGGATAGCGAGTAACCAAACACAATACAGTTAGCAAGTATTGAGATCCTGATTTAGATTTTGGCAAAGGCCCCACACAGTCAATTATTAAATGTTCAAATGGATTCTCAACAGGTGGTATTTCAATTCAATTTTATTTATAAACCGCCACATCACAACAACAGTTGTCTCACAGCGCTTTCCAAACAGAGCAGGTCAGACCCTACGCTGAAGTTAATTACAGAAACCCAACAATTTCCACCATGAGCAAGCACTAGGCGACACAGGCAGGAAAAACTTCCTTTTAACAGGCAGAAACCTCGAGCACAGGCGTGGGCCATCTGCCTCGGCCGGTTGGGGGTGAGAGAGAGAGAGGGCGAAAGAAGGACAGAGGGAGCACAGAGAGGCAGCCAACAAAGCAACACAGACTCGATGAAAAATGGCAATGATATTGATAGAAGTTATGACAGCAATAACACTATGCAGAGTAGTAGCAGAGCAGGAACACGGGGCAGCAGGAAACTCCCAACCACAGATCCAGCTTCCACAGTTCTAGGAACACCTGCAGAAACTGATAGGAGGAGACTCCCAATCACAGATCCAGACCCCACAGCTCCAGAGCCAGGAATATCTGCAGAAAGTGATTGGAGGAGAGAGAAGGGGGACGAGAAAGCACACAACTACGGGGAAGGGAGAGTCCAGTTAGTTACATCGTTAGTGGAATGAGGCTGCAACGGGAGGAAGAGAGAAAGGAGAGGGGAGCTCGGTGCATCATGGTGCATCCCCCGGCAGTCTTGGCCTATAGCAACATAACTAGGGGTGGACTTACCCTAACTATAAACTCTATCATAAAGGAAATTCTTAAGCCTACTCTTAAATATAGAGACGGTGTCTGCCTCCCGGATCCAAACTGGAACCTGGTTCCACAAAAGAGGACTCTCATAGCTGAACGCTCTTTCAAGTTTTCAAGCCTCTAGGAACTGCAAGTAACCCTTCATTCTGGGAGCGCAGTTCTCTGGTAGGGCAGTAAGGTACTATGAGCTCCTTAAGTTAAGATAGGGCCTGACCATGAAGAGCTTTGTACGCAAGGAGAAAGATTTTAAATTCTATTTTGGATTTAACAGGAAGCCAGTGCAGAGAAGCCAATACAGGAGAAATATGATCTCTTTTACTGGTTCCTGCAAGAAAACGTGCTGCAGCATTCTAGATCAGCTGAAGAGTCTTAATGGACGTTTTTGAAGAGCCTGATAATAGGGAGTTGCAGTAATCCAGCCTAGCAGTAACAAGTGCATGGATTAGTTTTTCTGCATAATTTTTACACAGGATGCTCCTAATTTTTGCGATATTACGAAGATGAAAGAAGGCGGTTCTTGAAAATTACTTATGTTTATGTGTTTATGTTTATGCATTTGGCAGACGCTTTTATCCAAAGCGACTTACAGAGTAGACACAATATTACATTTCTCATCACTATAAGCTATATAGAGGAGAAACACTGATCAGAGTCAGTGCTGAAAGCAAGAGATAGAGATAGAGGGGACCACAGAAGGAGTTGTGGGGGGGGTTGAGGTACGGGTTAGGATTAGGATAGGAGATGCTCTTTGAAGAGGTGGGTCTTCCAGAGTTTCTTAATGTGAGAGTTGAACGACATGTCCTGATCAAAGATAACTCCAAGATTTCTCACAGTGGTGCTTGAGGCCTAGGCGATGCCATCCAGGGAAACTACATCTCTAGATAATGCGTCACGGAGGTGCTTAGGCCCTAGCAATAACAATAACTTCAGTTTTAGCTGAGTTTAACATTACAAAATTGCAGGTCATCCAGGTTTTAACATCCTGAAGACACATTTGAAGCTTAGCTAGCTGATGAGTTTCATCTGGCTTGATCAATAGATATAACTGAGTATCACCTGCATAGCAATGAAAGTTGAGTGTTTCATAACAAAAGTGTTTCCTGATAATATTACCAAAAGGAAGCATATATGACGTAAAGAGGATTGGTCCGAGAACAGATCCTTGTGGAACTCCGTGGCTAACTCTGGCATGCATGGAAGACTCATCGTTAACATGCACAAACTGAAACCGATCTGATAAATAGGGCCTAAACCAACTTAGAATGGCTCATTTAATGCCAATGAAATATTCCAGTCTCTGTAATAAGATCTGATGGTCAATGGTGTCAAAAGCAGCACTAAGATGTAATAAAACCAATATGGAGACGAGTCCTTTGTCTGATGTCGTTAGTAGGTCATTAGTCATTTTCACCAGTGCTGTCTGTGCTATGATGAGCTTTAAATCCTGACTGAAAATCTTCAAACAAGCTATTGCTATGTAGATAGTCACACAGCTGTTTGGCTGCGTTCGCTAGGACTTTGGAGATGAATGGAAGGTTAGATACAACCCCTGGTTGTGCTGCTATAGGCCTAGACTGCCGGGGGATGCATCATGATGCACCGAGCTCCCCTTTCCTTTCTCTCTCTCCCTCCCGGTGCAACCTCATTCCATTAACAATGTTACTAACTGGACTCTCTCCCTTCCCCGTAGTCGTGTGCTTTCTCGTCCCCCTTCTCTCTCCTCTCTCTTCCTAACACTTTCTGCAGATATTCCTGGCTCTGGAGCTGTGGGGTCTGGATCTGTGGTTGGGAGTCTCCTCCTATCACTTCCTGCAGGTGTTCCTAGAGCTGTGGAGTCTGGATCTGTGGTTGGGAGTTTCCTGCTGCCCCCGTGTTCCTGCTCATCATTAACATTAATATCATTGCCATTTTTAATCTATTCTACGTGTTGCTGTGTTGGCTGCCTCTCTCTGCTCCCTCTGTCCTTCTCTCGCCCTCTCTCTCTCTCTTGCTCTCTCTTTCCCCTCACCCCCAACCGGCCGAAGCAGATGGCCGCCCACCCTGAGCCATGGTTCTGCTCAAGGTTTCTGCCTGTTAAAAGGAAGTTTTTCCTTGCCTGTGTCGCCTAGTGCTTGCTCATGGTGGGAATTGTTGGGTTTCTGTAGTTAACTT